CACCAGAACTTAGAACATTTTCACGTATATTTTCTTCTTCATCGGTTCACTTAATAAACATTGCCTGGGCACCGACGGTGTGTCAGGCACTAAAGCTTCACGCATTCATCAGCACACGCTTGCTAAGTACCTCCTAGGTGCCAGGGCACTAATGCTTCATTCATTCATTCAGCACATGTTTGTGGAGCGGCTGTTAGGTGCTAGGCTGTTAGGTTCTCAGCTACGCAGGAGGAAGATAGCTCTCATCTCCTCAACTTTGCGAAGTTGCCTGGTTCCCCCATTTCGCAGCTGGGGACACTGAGGCTAAGTTAGGTGACTGCCCCTAGGCCATGCGGCTGGTAAGTGGCAGGAGCAGAGGAAGCTGCCAGGGACAAATGTGACCTGGACACGGTGACATAGGAAATACTGTTCATTGTGGACATTGCAGGGCTTGGAGATTTACAAAGGATGGTGCTGCTGGCTGCAGGGTCAGCTGTCCTGGGATGGGAGCCCCACCTCTGTCACTTGTGGAGGTCGCCCCACCTTGCCGTGCTTGGAGGTCATATTCCCATGTCCAGTGTTCCTGTAAAGATTGACTGTGAATGAACATGGCCATCAGCTCCATGAGAGCTATAGCACTTAGCCAGTGCTTGGCACGCAGTAGGTGCCCAGCCAGAAGCAGCTGTGTCAGTGGCACTTGACTACCCAATTAAGGGACCCATCCAGCACCATTGTGGCTAGATGCTCAGGGCTACCCGCTGGCTCCTGACGGCAGGGATGCTTGAAATCTATTCTTCTTTAGATAGATTAAAGGCTAGACAACAGAAGTTCCCAAGGTGTTCCTGGAATCTCTCTGTAGAGAAGCAAGGTGTCCCTGCCTATCATTTGTCCGCACCTGTGTCCCAGCCACTCGGAGAGCCTTCTATCCATTATCCCTCACCCTGGCCAAGGTTGTGGGAGGCAAGCACAGCGACATCTTGATTACCTGCCATCCATCCATCACATGATGCTGATGGAAGAGGGTTTCATCTGCCCAGCTGTCCACTAAGGACAGCCGGGGCGGGGTGTGTGTGTGAAGAATGAGTCTTCCCAGGCCCCGGGATGAAGACAGCAGGCTGGTTTGAAATGCCCCAAGCCGGGTCAGACGTGGAGAAGACAGAACTGGGACCCTCTCCCTGAAGCCTGCAAGAGGGCGTCTGCATTCACATTCAACTCCGCCTTCTCCACCCAGAAAGGAGTGGGTGCAAGGGACTTCGTGCGCTGAGTGGTAACGCAGAAGGGAAATAGAAACTGATATCGTGGAGACGTGGGTGGATTTCTGAATGGTAGACCCGGGAGACTCAGTCACTGCTTCCTTCTTTCTGTCCTGCTGCCTCGCCCTTCCCTTCCCCATGTCTCCTGCCTGCCACCCCCCCCCCTCCTCCTCCTCATCCATTCAGCTCCCCAGGAGTCTACACAGCTTGGCTTGTGTTCCTGTTTCAAGCTCACCAGCTGAGGCTCTGAAGGCACCAGGCAACTCCAGGAAGGTGGGACCCAGCCCACCGCACCCCCAGAACCCCAGGCCCTTGGGCCCTTTGGCAGAGCTCAGTGATCGCCCGGCTGGGGCCTGACCACAGTGCTGGGACCTGTTAGCGTGCAGCCCTGGTAGAAGGTGCTGCTCCAGGTGGGCCTCAGGGAAGGCGGTCTGATCCGTCCTGTCTGCTGGAGCTGGGGTCCCCGGGGCTTGGGCCCAGTTAGCCTGTCCCCTGTGTCCTGGACACAAGCTCTCACAGCCCGGGGCCTCCAGACCCCCACTCCTGGGGCGCTGACAGCTGGCCTTGCCCCAGCCTGTCCCACTTGGTCAAAAGTGAGGAGGGCAGGTCTTCTGCTACCAGCCTGCGCCCCTTCAGCATCTGCCTCCCCTGCCTTTGCCCTCAGACACCCTCTTCCTTCCCCTCTCCATCAGCCCGGCTCCTTCCCCTCCCCTCTGGACCCCCATCTCTCCCCGCTGCAGGTGCTAGCCTGTCCGCCCCTTCTCCCCGCTAGCCCCTGCCCCTCCTCCCCTTCTCCCGTCCTCCTAGGACCTCTTCCTCGCAGACGGCTTCCAAGGTAGACTTGATTCAGTTCAACAGCATTTACTGAGCAGCCGCTCTGTGCTGGGCTCAGTGCCAAGTCGGAGTGTGCAGGGGTGACAGCCTGTGCGGTATAGACAGCAGGGCTGGGGGCGGTGGAGTTCCCGCCTCCTCTCCGTCTGCCTGTTCCTCCATCCCCCACCTTCCGTTCCTCCTCCTCCCCCTCCTCCCGTTCCTCCTCCTCCCGTTCCTCCTCTTCCCCCTCCTCCCGTTCCTCCTCCTCCCGTTCCTCCTCTTCCCCCTCCTCCTCCCCCTCTTCCCGTTCCTCCTCCTCCCGTTCCTCCTCCTCCCCCTCCTCCCGTTCCTCCTCCTCCCCCTCCTCCCGTTCCTCCTCTTCCCCCTCCTCCCGTTCCCCCTCCTGTTTTCCCTCCTTCCCTTCTCTTCCTCCTCCTTCCCCTTTCTCCTGCCTCCTTGCTTCTCTCTCCTCCTCCCACTTCCTTCCTCCTCCTCCCCCTCCTCCCTTTCCTCCTCCTAACGTCTCCCCGCCGCCCACCCCCAGGCCCTGTCCCGGCACCCCGCCAGCCGGCCCTCCGGGTGGGAGCTGGGAGGAGCGGGATGACTACGTCCCAGGAGACTCAGCAACAGGAGCTCCGAGGCCGCCATCCCGCCTGGCAGACGACGGGAAGGGCATTCGTCACGCCCACCTCCCCTCAGGGCCAAGGCAGGACGGAAATGACTTCTGTCGGCTCTCGCGGCAGCCCACTGCCCCTGGCAGCTGTTTATTTTAAAAAAGCAAAGATAAAGAAAAGAGTGAGAATGCCGTCCAGCTGCCTGCTCAGGGAGGGACTCCACGGCAATGACGCTGACCGCACGCCTTCAGGTCCTCATAAAGGGGCCCTCCAGCCCGTGTCCAGCGGTGACACAGATGGAAGGTGACAGCCAAGAAATGGGAAAGGAGGCAGGCACTCTGGGCAAATGGCGTGGCTTCTGTCTTAGCGCAGGGGGACCAAGCTTTCTCGGGGACCGGGAGCCACAGGTCGCCTGCTCATTCATTCTGCTCCTCCCTCTCGGAGCTTCAACTGAGGCTTTCGTTGAGTCTAGCGGTGGGTTAGGCTTGAGATTCAGAGATTCTAAGAGTAATCATGATTACCATTGGCTGTTAATTGTTAATGATGCACAGCTACTAGCTATTGGTTATTAATTATGCATCTCACCACTGTTATTTGAGGAGCTGGAGGCCAGCTTTGCGTTCATTCCTGTGACTTCCCTACATGTCAGCCCCATGAATGGGTGCCTCTCTTTCAGATCCGAAGCTGGAAGGGTTTGGCTCTGGGAGACCGGTGTGGCTGGGCCGCAAGAGGGAGACTCAAGGCAGGAGGCTGGGAAGGGAGTGGGGACTCCGACCCCGCAAGAGAAGGACTGAGGGTGGGGGGAGAGTGGGTGATGGAGATAGCTCACCCATGCCACCATCTCAACCCTGTGGATTCCCCACCGCTCCCCTCCCTCACCATGACCTTGACCCTCCACCTAGCTGACCAAGGGAATAAGGAGATGAACACAGCCAACCCTTGCCCATCATTCATGGAATCATTGCCATGGAGACCAAACACAGATCCGAGGTCTGGGGAGGCTCTTGCCAACCCTGAAAGAGAGAGACATACAGGATGGTTAAAGCACTGGCCTCAGGAACTCAGGAAGGCAGAGTCTAATTCCCTAGAAAAGATCTTGATCCCCCTACCCTGCCTGTGCCCTCCTCCCCCTCTGGATATCTCCTTCTGGGACCATTGGTTTCCCTTCCTTCCCAGATCCAAGAGCCTTTTGGGACATTGTGGTCAGGTCTCCTCCGTCCAAACTGTCCCATGTGATTAGGGGTAGAAATGGTGAGATCACACTGCTGCAGGGAGCAAGGAACCCTCCTCAGAGTCTTGTACCAGAATCCCAACCGCCCCTATGGGCAGGGGACTGAATCCGGTCGTCATACCTGGAACAACTATTATACAGAAGCAGAATAATGACTAGAGACCTGCATATACATGGCCCTTGGCCGCACTCAGGCCCCAGCCCATGGTTTTGTGTGCCGTTCCAAAGCTCCGACCTCCCTATCCCTTTCGCTTTTTCATAAATGTTGACTTTGCTATGGGGGTGGGGATGAGGGGGAAAGGGGTCATTTCTCTTAGGGGGGAGGGCAGATAGATTTTATTTATTAAAGGACCGGTTGATGGACTTGGGTCTGTCTCTTGTAACGATGCCCTTTATTTTATAGTCTATAATTCCGTCTCACCGCGAGGTTCCTATTTTTCACAGGGGGAGTGTTTTTGGCTCAGCCTGTTGTGAAGTGCTTCTGCATCAAAGCCAAGCCTGGTGTAGTCCCGGAATAGAAACCGTCTGTACTCTCGTGTATAGGCTCGGTTTCATGTCTATTTTATGGAAGCCTTTCCCTTCTAGGGGGTGTGTTTTTCTTACCTGCACGTCCAAAAACAACCAACATGGAGAATCCCACGGAAACACATTTGGGTCATTGACTCTCAGCAGCCCTGCTTGGTGGACCATCGCTCTGGGTTTGGCCCTAATCAATCAATAAATACCCTCCCCCCATGGATCCCCCTTGAGTCTTCAAGAAGCAAACGACTTACGTCACAGGGGGCTCTGGGATGGTGGGTCCTATCCTGTCAGATACGACGACTTATAAATCTAAGCCACTCACTCGCCTCAACTGCCGTTTTAATCTACTCACATGCACTTTGTTGGGTTTAATTAGAGGCAGAAATTGCATCTCAGGAAGCAACGAGAAATCATTTGCGTGGCTTGAGTTTACGCCTTAAATCATAGGGTTCATTTGAGAGCGTGGTTAGGGACAGTGTGTCCGAAGAAAACTCGTGTTAGTGCCTGTGCGTCGTGGCCCTCACACCAACCACACAGACCCTATGAATTGCATGGTTTCTATTGACCACATGTGTCTTCTTGGTGCAGGATGAACGAGCAGGCCGGGGATGCAGAGAGGTCCCAGCCGGCGTCGGCCCTGAGCAGAGCCCGGGCCATGCGGAGCCAGACCTCTGGGGACAAATCTGTATCCCCCCTCTCCCTCCGGCGACAGAAGTACTACCACCTGGGAGATGGTGAAGAGTGTGGCGGGCAGAAGCCCATGGAGAGGCTGGGAGTGTGCTCTTCCTCCCCCGCCTCTCGGAGTACAGACTCACCCCCAGCGTCCAGGGAAAAGCTGCCCAGCCCTTCGGCCGCCCTGTCAGAGTTTGTAGAAGGCCTCCGGAGGAAGAGAGCTCAGAAGGGACAGGGGTCCACGCTGAGCCTGGAGGACTGGCCCACTCTTCCCATTTACCAGACCACCGGGGCATCCACGCTGCGGAGGTCCAGGGCAGGCAGCGACGAGGGAGACCTCTCGCTGGGGCTCAGGGCAAGGTTGGCCCCAGAAACAGAGGACGTCTCCGGGACGTCAGCCGGGCTCCTGCGGTCCACCAGCCTGAAGTGCATCTCTTCCCCGAGCGCAGAGGGCTCCATGCTGCTGCCCAAGAGGCCAAAGGCCAGGTTCAGCTCCTGCGAGTCCCTCTTCGAATCAGGGCAGAGCTCGGAGAGAAAACTGAGCTCCCCAAGCACATCCAGGGACCTGCTTTTGTCACCCACGGTGCGCCCACGGAGGCGCTGTCTGGAGTCCTCACTGGACGAGGCGGGCTGTCCGGACCTCGGGAAGGAGCCTCTCGTCTTCCAGAACCGGCAGTTCGCCCACCTCATGGGGGAACCTCTGGGCAGCGATCCGTTCACCTGGAAGGTCCCAAGCCTCAACTACGCACGCAAGACCAAGGTGGATTTCGACGACTTCCTCCCAGCCATCCGGAAGCCCGAGTCGCCTGTGTCCCTGGCCAGAGCCGCCAAAGAGGGTCAAGAGAGTCCTCGGCATTCACGCATCCACTTTGAGGCAGAGAAGGCCGACCGGACCTTTCTCTCAGGGATCAAGGCCATTTTGAAAAAGAGTCCGGAGCCCAAGGAGGACCCCGCTCACCTCTCTGACTCATCGTCCTCCTCCAGCTCCATCGTGTCCTTCAAAAGCGCCGACAGCATCAAGAGCCGACCGGGAATCCCACGGCTGCAGGGTGACGGTGGCGAGGGAACGCCCCCCGAGAACAGAGAGCCGGGGGCAGGCGGGAAAGACGAGGATGTTGAGAGCATAATGAAGAAGTATCTCCAGAAGTAGGAGCCAGTGCAGGTAAAAGAGGGAGGCGGGGGACTCTTGTTAGGGAATGGAAACCAAATAGTCCATACGGGTCTGACGGCCTGGAGAAAACCCTGTTGATGCCACCGGCCTCCACGCTGTGAATGATTTCTGTAGAGGCGACGGGATTTAGAGGTGTTTGCGGAAATAATGAGCTGCCGTATGCAAAGCTCTCTGCTACGTGCCGGTGATTTCTCAGCCCTTTAAAAGGCAGACCCGCTGGAAAGCCGGGGGTCGTGTGGGGCAGTACTAAAGGAGGTGCTGGGCTTCTGGTTTCCCCTCTGTCATGTCTTTCCAGGGCTCCTGGTGCTGGACGAGCCCCGAGTTCCGTCCACATAATGACCGCAGATCTGTGGGGGAGGGTCAGGCCAGGGCAGAGGGGTTTTGAAAATAGTGGAGTCCAACTCTTTTTTTTTTTTTAAGAGAGAGACAGTGTGCAAGAGTGAGAGAGGGGCGGGGCAGAGAGAGAGAGAGAGAGGAGGAGTCAAGGAGGGAATGAGAGAGAACATCAAGCAGGCTCCGCACCCCATGCAGAGCCCGATGCGGGGCCCGATCTCACCACGGTGAGATCAGGACCTGAACCAAAATCAAGAATCAGACGCTTAACCAACTGAGCCACCCAGGAGGCCCTGGAGTCTAACTCTTGCATTAAATATCCAGAGAGAAACTGAGGCCCCAGGATGGGGGGTGGTGGGTGGCAGGTACGAAGTTGCCCAGAGAAGCAATGAGAGAAACAAGGCTTCCTTCTGAACCCTCTCCTACCCCAGTACTAATCCTGCCACTTCTCAGATTAAAGGTAGGAAGCAGGGTCCCCTGCTAATAATGGCCTACATTTATTGGCTGTAGATAGCAAGCCAGTCACTTGCTATCCACAGGAACCCCAGAAAGGTAGTTAGGATGATTTATTCCCATCTTACAGATTGGTAAACAGAATCAAAGAAGTTAAGTCACTTGTACGAGATCACGGAGGTAGACCTGGCCCTCGTAACTCCGGAAACCCCACTTGTATCTGTGACACGTCTCCTTGGGTGCCTATTCCAAGCGTGTGCATGAGTAAACCCAGAGCCTCCTTGGAGGAACTAGATTTTTATTTAAAGATGTTGTCTCCACTGACGTCCCAAGCTGAGGCAGACATCAGGACCATCGAAACGTAAAGGGATGTTGGAACTCCCAGACTCTGACCCTCACTGCTGAGCAAATGAGGGAAAACTCCAGATTGTGACCCCCGCCCTCCCCCAGCGAGTCTGCCTCCAACCCAGCCACCTTGACTCCCATTTCAGTGCTCTTTGCCCTGAGGCAAGCTGGCCCCTGACCACCACACCCTGGGCACATTTCAAACCTTAGGGCACTTTAGGGCTCCCGGCTGAAAGGCAAAGTCAGGTAGGGGAAGCTTGGCATCAGGGGAGAAGGTATAAGGACCCCCCTCTTGACTCAGACACCACGCGAACCCGTTCCCTCCCCAGTAATAACCTGCAGCCTCCATAAATCTCTGAGTCACTGAACTTGAAACATCTCACGGCTCTAGTATAGCGGAGCGGTCACCTGCAGGTGCCTTGCCTCTGTCCCCACCCTCCTTCCAGAGCCCTCCTGGACCCAAACGAGCCACCTCTCTTCCACTTCCATACATCTGCTACTTCGAGAGGCACCCTCAGCCCATCAAAAAGCCATTGCCCCTTCCTTGGAGATGGGCTTGGACTGTATCAGAGCAAATTAATTTGACTTAACATGGCCTTCTCTCTGCTCTCAATTACTGGGAAGAGATGTGATATTCATTTACATTATTATGCTCTCAGGGACGCAGAAAGCAGTTTCAAAGGCCAAGTAAAGGGCACACGTCCATAAGGGGAACAGTTCTTAGCAGAAGTCATCACAGAACATCTTGTCTCTGCCATTTTTTTTTTTTAACTCAAGTCTTTCCCCCTCCCAGCAGCACTCACCATGGTAATGGAGCATCTGCCAAAAAATATCCTCCGCCCTGACATCCACACTGGAGGCATGAACTGACAGTACAGCCCAGTCCCCCATGAGGCAAATGTACTATGGAGTTCAGAACCGAGCAAGCCCCTCAAAGCTCACTTTCTCCTTGTAACTGGCCGGGAGACCTTGGGCAAGTGATGTGACCTTGCCAAGCACCTGTGTCCGCAGCTCAAATATGGGGCTGATAATAGCAGCACCTAAAGTAACCCCGTGAGGTCCATGTGAAATCCAGAGAACACCAGCCTAGGGCCCGGCACCTGCTGGAGGCAGTAAGGGTCCTGTGGTGCTGAGTTTGGACATCTTGGCCCTTCAAGAGCTCTGTCCCAAATTTCTTTCCACTCATTTCCCTTCTGCTGCCTGGACTCCTTCATCCCTGTGGGTGGTGTCTCTGCAGGAATGTCGCCTGGGGATATGGGATCACAAGGCCTCCACTCCCAAAACGCACTTCCTGTATCCCATTGATCAGCTCTGACCTGTGTTTGTTTCCAGCCTCCTGAGATACGCTGCCTTCAAAGACTTCCCGACTCCACAACTGTCTGGAGAGAGAGCAAGAGTGAGAGACCAGGAGGCCTCCCCCGGGGCCCTCAGTCCAGAGCCAGCCAGCACGGCTGCACTCAAGAGGCGAGAAGAGCCCAGCAGGAGGCATATCCCGCAGGCATGGAGACCCCCTCATGCTTGGTCTGTACAAAATAAAGCGATGGCTCCTTCACATCTGTGCTTCCTCTCTACTCTGTGATCATGTTTCCTGGGACTCTGGGGGTTTGACTGGGGCAGCCCAGGTAGAAAGATTCCAAGGAATGGAATCAGCCCATGCTGTATTTTCGAGTTCACACTTCTCTTCCCCGACATGACTCCATGCAATGGCCTTGTTCCTCTTCACCTGCCCATGTCAACTCAGGTGTCACCCCCTCCAGGAAGTCTTCCATGATACATTGAACTGAAATAAATGCTCTTTCTCCATTCTCCCTCGATTCTCCCATCATAGCTCCCTTGTCTGTCTACTGTCTATACTGTGTGAATATGCATAGGCAAGCATTCAAGACAATTTTTTACCTGTTTATTTGTCTTTAAGAGAGAGAAAGTGCAAGCATGAGCAAGGGAGGAGCAGAGAGAGGTGGGGGGGACAGAAAATCCAAAGTGGGCTCTGTGCTGAAAGCAGCGAGCCTTGTGTAGGGCTTGAGCTCATGAGAAATGAGATCATGAGCTGAGCTGAAGTCAGACGCTCAACCAACGGAGCCACCCAGGTGCCCCAAGCATTCAAGAAATTTTGAATGAATGAATGAATGAATGAGCCACTAAAAAAGTTAATAAACCTACACACCTTGAATGCATGTGACACTGACATGAACGCATCCCACAAACATGTGCCCACATCAACATTCTAGACCCTGTGAACATCCGCTTGCAGTGCCCCATTCACCTCTTCGCATATGCTGCCCTCCCACCTACACCCAAATATGCACACGCACCACAAACTGCACTCCCCCGGCACGTCTGTATTGGGTGCCTGCTTCTTCACACATCCTTGAAGTCTTTCTTAGTAATACTAAGCCTGTAGGCTAATTATTGCCTATTACTCATATATTGCTAATTACTCATATACTATATTGGACACCGGGCTAAGTATTTTATAGGTACATCTCACTGCAACTTCACAAAAAGTCCTGAGAGATAAATGCTCTTATTATTCCCTGTTCACAAAGGAGTTGCTAGCGTATGTCTATCTCTGGGACGCCAATGCTGCCCCCATTTAAATTCTCACCAGCATAGACTATGACCTGCCCCAAATGCGTCTCTATGCATCTCTAGTCTACTCCTCTGGGATAGCCAATCAGAGCTCTCTTTGTGTGTTAGTTTGCCAGGGCTGCCGTAAAAATAAATAAATAAATAAATAAATGGTACCACGAAGTGCATGGCTTACACAACGAATTGACTGCCTAGATGTCCAAGATCAAGGTGTCAGTCGGTCTGGTTTCTTCTGAGGTCTCTCCTTGGCTTGTAGATGGCCACCTTTTCCCTGTGTCCCCACACAGCCTTTCCTCCTGGCACCCATTCCTGCTTGTCTCTCTGTGTGTCCAAATTTCCTCCTCTTATAAGGACGCCAGACAGGTTGGGTTGGGGTAAACCAAAGGGACTCACTTTCATTTAATCACCCTCTGCAGGCCCTGCCTGCAAACACGACCACATTCTAAAGTACCAGGCGTTAGGGCTTCCCCACGCACATTTTGTTAGAACAGTAATTCAGCCTGTAAACACATGCTATGTGAAAGTAGGTGGTGATTTCATTTGTTAATAGCTAGCATTATTCACGTAGTGATCAGATAAATATGTCCTAAGGTCCCCCAGTGAAAGCAATTACAGAATTGGAGAAAAGATTTGCACGGCCTTCCTGGCACTGGGGTTTTGTGGACATTTTTAGGGCCCCGAAACTGTGCATTTCCATGAGCTGCTCTTCCTGTGTCTGTAGGGTTCTTCATTCAGCGGGTATTTGTTGAGCACCTGCTAAGTGCCAGCCACTGTCCCCCCAACAGGGAATCCCTCTTGCTTTTCTAGAGGTGAAATCCTAGCCAGGGAGCAAGAAAATACATTTGTTGTCAGAGAATGAGAAATGCGATAAGGGAAAATAAAAATGAAATTATCTTGCTGAGTTCCCTGTTTAAAACTTTACTGGACTCTGAGACTCTTGAATGCTGAGAACAAACTGAGGGCAGATGGGGTGGGGGGAGGGGAAGGGGGGTGATGGGCATGGAGGAGGGCATCTGTGGGGATGAGCACTGAGTGTTATACGGAAACCAACTTGACAATAAACTATTTTTTAAAAAATAAATAAAAAATAAAACTTTACTGGAGTTTTATTTTGTTGTTTCATTTCATTTCACTTCATTGTTAGACATTTTTTAAGTTTGTGTATTTATTTTGAGAGAAAGAGAGAACATGAGCAGGGGAGGGGCAGAGAGAGGGAGCGAGAGTCTCAAGCAGGTTCTGCACTGTCAGCACAGAGTCTGATGTGGGGCTCGAACTTCTGAACCGTGAGATCATGTCCTGAGCCAAAACCCACAGTCAGACGCTCAACCAACTGAGCCACCCAGGTGCCCCTGGACATTTATTTTATGAAAGACATTTTGGTAAAAGAGAGACCAGTCATTCTTCTTCGATGCGCGAGCAGTGCACCCAGAAAGGTTAAGCCTTACGTCATAACAGCAAAGCTTTCCTCACTGTTTGGCAGGAAACAAATCACGAAGACACTTGTTAGAAGTCAGCTGTCCCTGTCCCTCAAGTCCCCCAGCTCAACACTGCCTGATGCAGAAGGTACTGACCCAACGTGGCCTTCCTCCTTGCAAACCTGCAGAAGTTCCCAAGTGGACCCTGGTGTCACATCGGCCTCTTGCTCAGCCCAGGACCCAGTGCAACAAACGCCACCCAAGCTACCACTTCTGCTACACAGGCATCAAAATGGGCTCTGCCATCCCCTTCTGTGTGACCTCAGCAGTTGCCTTCTTCCTGGGCCCTCCCTTCACTCATCCACGTAAGGGGTGTGGAACTCATACCAGCTTCCCAGTATCCTGTGAGGGTCACACTCCCCGGAAGCCCTGAGCATAGTGCCTGGCATGGAGGCAGCTCACAGTAAACAGTGGCAACACTGATCTCTGGGCTTAGAAGCACTGCTCCCTGATGCCCGAGTTTGAGGCTCTGTCTGCACACATCCTGCTGTGGCTTCCCCACCAGCGTAACCACAGCTATTTCAAAGGTGACGGTGTGGGAGGCATGGATGGGTCCAAGCGGGTTACATGGCCAGCCCCAACATCTCCTTTTGTTTCCAGGTCCCAAGGCCATGTTCAACAGCACACTTGGGTCTTAAAAGAACCCTCCAGCCTCACGACGAGAAGAAAGACTTGAGATAATTTTACAGGAAAGGAAAATGAGTCCCTGAGAGGGAAGAGATGCGTCCAAAGACACTCAAAGGCAGGTCTGAGTTTCAGACCCAGTTAACATTTTTTTCATTCAATAAATATTTATGGACCTTCCTTCCACCCCGAGTCCCGGGCCCTGTCGTAGGTAAGAAGATAAAGCTGAGGCTGGGTGGGCAGAGGGCCGCCTTCATGAGGCTCTCAGTTTTCAGGACACGGGTAATGAACTTGGAGGTACACATCAGCCACGCCCACTCATCTGACCCCCATCAGTCATCTGCCTGCTACAGGTCATCCTCCTGGGTCTGCACCATCTCAGCCCTGCCCAGAGCCTTCCGCAGGCCACCAGAGAGCCAGCTGTGTCCCAAGGCTCCCAGCCATCTGCACCGTTCAGGGCTAAGGAATTGAGGGTTTGTTCTCTTTTCCTAATCCCAAGGATTGTCAAGTGGGAAGGACAAGAAAAGGTAGAAATTGCAGCCAGGAGAGGCGGATGCCAAGGACTTCGGATATAGCGTGGAAGGCTCTGGGTGTGATTAATGGCTTAGCCAAGCTCCCGCCATTGTCTTGGGGGGTGATGGGCAGCCGAGCTCTGTTCCCAACCCCCTCCCCCAAGTCCCTGATGCTCATTTACCAGTCAGGTGAGCATCTACCTTCAGAGCACGGTGACAGATGCCACACAGCCGCCCTGGTGACAAAGGTGAAGCAGCGGCCTTGTCACCCTTTGTTAAGAACCACCAACAGCTCCCCACCCCTCGCATGTCTGCAGGGAGCAAGGCACTGTGCTCAAATTTCAGCATCACTTTGAAGGGGCAGGTGTTGGGGATCTGCTGTCCCCCATGCTTTCTATACATGTAAGAAAACAAAAATGATTCAGATGCTGCTTTATAACTAGCTGCACGAGGGCCTGGTAGCCCCTTTCTGGGCTCTGGTAAAATTGTGCTCATACCACATGGCTTCAGCTTGCAGGGCTCAGTGAAGTGGCTTATGTAAGCCCTCCCCGTCTCCCATCTCCCATAATCGAAAGCTTGTCATCTTCCTGCTTAGGCTGGCTGCAAAGGGCAGCGGGAGATGCAGCCATGTTTGCCAAAAGCCCCTGGCTAGGTTGGTTGAGCGTCTGACTCTTGATCTCGGCTCCCATCATGATGTCGTGGTTTGGGAGTTCGAGCCCCGCATAGAGGTGCAGACGGTGCATTCCCACAAGGTCAGCCAGCAGAACGTCACCTTCGCCACCTCTCTCTGGCCCTACCTGCTCCGTCTAGAGGTCACGGGGCCCGGCCCAGTCTCTAGGAACAGGTTTGTGTTGACTCCTGGCTTTGCCATTTTTAAAGCTGTGACCTCAGTTTACTAAATCTCTCTAGGACTTGGATAATAAGCAGTGGGAGAGGAGACCCTGGTTCAGGAATTAGTCTGGCGCACGGGAGCACTGCACAAGGACGACTGAGCCCATTTTACAGATGAGAAAACCACACTAGCAACGAAAGGACCGGCATCAGAGTTCAGAGCTCCTTGGCCTCCCCCCATCTCATGACTTGGTTGCCCGGTCAGCGTGGGTGGCAGGGCGATCTGACCCAGACACAGGCAGAGACCTCCCCCGTCCCCAGCGTGAGTAGCCACTCACCTCTGTTGTCAGTTCTGATCTCAAGCCACATCCTGGAAGGAGGGGTGGGATGGGGTGTGGCTCCAGGAGTGCCCAGCAGCCATCCTGACCTTGAAGGAATCCAGTTCCGTGCCTAGTGGGTGGAGCGGCTTATCCCAACTTACACAACACAAAAAGCCCACAGACGGATCTAAATCATTCTTACT